CAAATGAATTGAAAAGTATTTTGATGTCAAATTTTAAGACTAAAGATTTAGGGCAAATTAAGAGATGCTTAGGTATGAGGGTAAAAGTGTATGAGAATGGATGTATTTCTTTAGATCAGGAGCACTATGTAGAACATATTTTAAATAAATTTAAAATGTCTAATTGTAACCATGTAGATACTCCAATTGAATGTAATCTCAAGTTAGAGAAATCAGAAAATATTCATAAGCAATATCCTTTTCAGCAACTGTTAGGAAGCTTAATGTACTTGTCTGTTCTTACACGCCCAGATATCAGTTATAGTGTCAACTACTTAAGCCAATTTAATAATTGCTACACAGTAGTTCATTGGAAAGCTGCAAAAAGAATTGTAAAGTATCTACTTAAAACAAAATCTTATGGTCTAATGTTTATAAATGATAATAAAAATTTAGAAGGTTTTGTGGATGCAGATTGGGCATCAAATATTATTGATAGGAGGTCCTATACAGGTTTCTGTTTTAAATTATCTGGTACAGTTATATCATATGAATGTAGAAAACAACCAACTGTAGCACTATCCAGTACAGAGGCTGAGTATATGGCAATAAGTGAAGCTTGTAAAGAAGCCATATATTTGAGGAATTTGTTATCAGAAATTGTAAATTGTAATTATACTGTTGTTATTTATAATGACAACCAAGGTGCAAAAAAATTGTCAGAAAACCCTGTGTTTCATAAGAGATCAAAACACATAGATGTACGCCACCATTTTGTCAGGGAAGTAGTTAGTAATAACCTTGTAAAAATTGTACATCTTCAAACTACAGAAATGCCTGCTGACTTGTTAACAAAGGGTCTGAGTAGAATAAAACACAATGATTTTGTTAAAAAGTTAGGAATTCAAAGTATTGTTTAGGTTTATTTGTGTTTATTTGTTAATTTTCTTTTTTGTTTGTTTCAATACATGGAGTCATACATGTTAAAAATTTTGTTTCAATACATGGAGTCATACATGTTAAAAATTTTGTTTTGTTGTTATATTTAATTATAATAAGATTATTTTGATAAGTGGAGATGTTAAAATAATATCAAAATAATCTATGCTTTTTGTAGTTTTTAATTCCATCTGTTATGTTACCTATATAGATATTTGTTGTCTATGATTAAAGTCAGTCTAGTAAAAACATCTGTCGTGATTTCATTAGTTTCGGTGTTTATTTTTTACTAATCACAGTTAAATACATCTTATATAGAAGAACTAAGAAATATTAAGTTCTATTACTTAATAAGTCCTCGATGTAATAACATCAAGCTAAGTTTAATAATTTTATAACATAACATAACATCACACCTTTGTATCTCCAAAGGTATAGGCAGAGGTGCACATTACGGCACTTAAACCCGGTACAATGTAAGGTTACGGTTACAGGTTACTGTCCATATACCTTCTCAAGAGCGATATTTTCTAATTATAATAAACGAAGTATTGCCCAATCTATTGATTATGGTCTATGTAACATAACGCTTTAATTTTAAATAGAAATTAACTAAGCACATGCCTACAAGAAAGGCTAAAAGACAAGTTAGTCATTCTAAAATACCAATCGTATCTTAGTAAGTTCCGGCAGTGACGCGCATGCGTCGGCGTCGTCAGTGGGCGTGGCCTTGACTGCGCGCGCGCAGTGCGTGGAGTGTTTCATTCCACTTCACTTGATGCTCGCTACGAAGGACAAGGGAGTAATATGGTGGCATGATACAGTTTAATTAATTGACTAAATTTTGACTTTATCTTCACTTAAGTTAGAAATAAACGAAATGTTTGGCAATAGGCTCCACCCCCTATTACATGGGACTCATAACATAAATAGTGAAATGTGGGTGCTACATTGTACAGTGGCCCTAACTGCCGTAATTTGCACATGTACCTATCCCTTCGGGGATAAAATGCGTGATGTTATGTCGATAGTCGATCTACATACTTTGCGGTAGTATATACTCGATATAAGTTTAAAAAAATCTCAACCCCTATTACATGGTACTCATAACATAAATAGTGAATTGAACAGTGGGTGTTACATTGTACAGTGGTATAATGTACACCTCTGCCTACCCCTTCGAGGATAAAAGGCGTGATGTTATGTTATGTTAAGTTTTAAAATTGTCTACATAATAACAAAGTCGACATATATTTTTTTCACCTGTAACTGACCAAGGCTTACAAAAACCTTTTACCAGATGAGTCAAGAGAGGTTGGTTGTGTGTTGTCGCAACGCAATTTAATTCACGTCTCGATTACTTAACCGTTGCGTTCTTACCACTCTTGCGCACATTGTTATTAAAGTCTGGGAATCCGATAAAATGTTGAATACAAAGTAAATTGTTGTTTTAGATGGTCATAGTATTGAATAATGTCGGGTTTTTTGTTCACGGGGTACATTACTTATTATTATTATTATGCCAAATAGAACTTGTAATCAACATCAACAGCCAATAAGTGGCCACTGCTGACCAAAGGCCACTTCTCACACGGAGAAGGTTTGAACAATAACCACCACGCTTGCTCAATGCGGGTTGGCGATTTCAAACTTATAATTAGAAATTAGAAGTCCTGATTTCCTCACGATGTTTTCCTTCATCGTTTCTCAGTGGCGTCTATATAATCTTAGAAAGTACACCACAACTCGAAAAAAGTCACACTTGCCGATGATAGGTTTCGAATCCGCACTCTGATGCATGAGAAGCGGGCGTTATAAACCTCCTGACCATCACGCCACACACTATTGTAATAAAACCTTAATTATGTGAAATGGAGAGATGTGTTAAAAAGGGACAAGTGTCTATACCATGCATAGGATATTGTAGACTTAGGATATTGGTCACCAACCCGAATAGCAATGACAAAATGAACGATAAGGCTCCAGAGATATATCCCGTTGACACTTCAGGTGATCGAAGGGCTGGCTACTACCTTCGGCAAAAGTTAAGCATTGCCATTCAACGTGGCAGTGCTGCCAGTCTTTTGGGCACCCTACCTAACGATACCTCAACATTATCGTTTTTTTTTTTGATGCCATATTTAAGCTGACGTTTTTTAAGGTAATTTTAACGTGTCAATATTTTAGTTTTTAGTTATTTATAATATAAATATTATTTTTAAGTTAGGTTAGGTTACAGGTATGTATATTAATAATGTAAAATATTTAAATTATGTGGTTTATAACATAAAACTTGTTAAGCGAATGTGAGTGAGCCAATACAAACCGGCTGTGGTTTAATGCATTTAAAATTTTTCCCTATTAGTCCAATTACTTGAATCCATTTTGGACAAAATTAGCGAAATTATGTAAGTCGAAATCTCAATAACACGGTTGTGTGAGTGTTATCCGAGTCCCAGTAATCTTTAGACCAATGAGGTAATTCTAAGAATTGACTAAGATGGTGTCATCGATACACAAATATTCTATTACTGAGTATTTTAGGGTCAAAAGACCATTACAACGTGGAACTAAGGTATATTTAATATGATTCCTTATGTTATTTACTTATTGTTTGTGAAGTAACTGGAATGTATGTATAAAAGGATATTAAATTTTAAACGACAACACACCATGAGAATTACAAGTGCATTGCAAGTGGGATTTGGGGATTGGGAATTTGGGGATTGGGAGTTTGGGGATTGGGAATTTGGGATTGGGGATAGGGAATTTGAAGTTTGGTAATTTGGGGATTACGAATTTTGGGGATTCGGAATTAGGGGATTGAATATGGGCCTCCGGTACCATAAGTAATGCACATTTTTGTACCTCTAATCGATAATAGCGCCAATATGATGTTGTGTCTCTAGACTTAAGACATTGATTATCACGTCCAGCAGATAATAATGAAAAATGGACTCTAAGTAAACCTAGTAAATAAGACAGAATTGATTAAACTGTATTTCGTAAGTTATAAATGCCTTCAACGAATGTTGCATTAGTCTGGTTAGAAGTGGAGCAAGTCTGTACTTGATCGGCGAGATAATGCTTGCAATCTTTTGCTACTTGTAAACTGTTTAATTTGCATTCAAGTGTATTGTAACACAATCAAGAAAAAAATTACTTGCCCATCGGTCTGCGTATGCATCGTGTGTACGTTTGACCCGTACTATGGTTATTTTTTAGCGTACCTTTGTCTTATAAGTATTAGGCATTAAGTAGTACATAATCTGCCTCTTTGGCCGAGTGGTCGCAAGTTCGACTGCCGGGTAAGGGGTCTCGGGTTCGAATCCCGGGTCGGGCAAAGTATTACTGGATTTTTTAAAACCCCAGTAGTAGCACGGAGTCTGGAATAGTGTCCGGTATATGGCAATAGGCTTACACCCTATTACATGGAACTCAAAACATAAGTCGTGAAAAGTGGGTATTACATTGTACAGCGGCATTAAGTGCCGTAATGTGCACCTCTGCATACCTCTTCGGGGAAGACAGGCGTGATGTTATGTAGTACATAATCACACTAGGATAACTAATTTGCGGATTGTGGGGTCACATAAATAAATATTGCGTGCGAGAATCGAACCCTCGACACAGTTTTGTTGCAGCTGGTCGTTGTGTAAGAATGTAACCCCCATACTGGTTTTACAAACCGGTTGATCGTCCACAACCTTCAACTAAATATAATGACCAGAACCATTATATATTAATAACTATTTCGCATTCAACGTTCGCCGTGACTTAAAACGAATTCGACTCGAAGGATCAAAAAAGACCAAATGACGTACCAGGTCATTTTTTGTCCTTAAAAATCTTCAATCGAACAAAAGTAGGTAATTAACAAGTTTTTTGTTAAAATAATTATGTAAAATAATCAAAGATTGGCGTAAGAAATAAAGATAAAAAGACCAATCCGTCATGCCGTATTCGGTCTGACCTTACGAGTTACTCGAAGTTACTTTACGAGTTTTAAGCACACAAATTATCAATGGCCAGATGTTTCGCAAACTCCTTATAAATACAGTATCCATACTCCTTTTCCTTACCTTTTTAAAACACTTGTATCCCACACAACTTCGAGGTTGACACCTCATTAAAAAAAAACAATAAAAAAATATCACACTACACTCGCTCTTTTGTACATGGACACTACCACATTCCACTTTACGAAAAAAAAAAACAAAAAAGAAAACAAAGCAAATTCACATTACATTTCAAATTTTGAACGCACGTTCGATTTTAACGGAAAACGTTAGAAGAATGTTTGAAAATCGAATTTAATTTGAAAATGGCGATTCGTGTTCGTTTTTTAAATTTAAATTGTTCGTTGGCTGTCGCATCGCGGCCGCGCGATCTGCGTCGGGTGTTGCACTGGCGAGGAGCGCGGGCGCAGACCGGACGGCCTTTACCAAAAAGGTCTTATGATCCATGTAGGCGATTATGGACTTAATTGCGTGGATGTAAAAGGATTTTTATAATATTTCGTGCTAAAGACTAATGGGAAATGTAAAAACGATAAAAAATAAATACTATTTTGTCTCGGGTTAACGCTTTTTGAGAACATTTGCGTGTCTATAAGCAATGGGAAACAAGCTTGAAGTTTTGATTAATAAATATTGTTGTTTTTTATTGTGAATTAATGTTTAATTATACTCGTACCTGTAAAAATTTTTATTACTGAACATAGTTTTAGTTAGTCAATATAAAATATCTTTATATTTTAATATTCTGGTTTTTGAGAGCTTATAAACTTGTTTAGGATTGAATCAGAGCTCTAAATAGAGTCTGATTTAATTCATTTTTCGTAGAACGATACAAATTCATACTTAAATTCAATTATTTTTTTGGACTATAAATAGTACGTTTTATTATGAACTAAAAATAAAAAGTTTTATTCAATTTAAATGCTTATTATTAAATACTAGCTCCTTCCGCGCGGTTTCACAGCTTTGCTCAGCTCCTATTGGTCGTAGCGTGATGTTTTATAGCCTATAGCCATCCTCGATAAATGCGCTATCTAACACAAAAAGAATTATTCAAATCAGACTTGTAGTTCCGGAGATTAGCGCGTTCAAACAAACAAACAAAAAACAAACTCTTTCGCTTTATATAATAGTATAAGATATATGTATAACTGGATAAATATTTACAAATTAAAATAATTTCAACTAAACTATTAAATAAAACGAAAGTAAAAAACAATCATTTATTAATTATAAACATAGGTAACATAAGGGTCTTAAATGCTATGTTAGATTTGTCAGCATACAAAATTATATTGACCTCTTACAAATGCATAGAGGCAGTAATTTTGAAAAAAATTAGCATAAGGGGTGAGTCTATTGCCATATACCGAGCACAATTTCATACTCAGTGGTACTACTGAGATTTTTATAAAAAAACCAATTAATACTTTGCCCGACCCGTTTATCAAAACCGAGACCCCTTGTCCCGGCAGTCGCACACTATAAAACAAATCTAAAACTTTGCAAAGAGATAGCCTAGAGTAAAAATATTGTATTTTTTATCCCAGTAATGCAAGCAAAGTCGCATTCACCAGTTAGTTATAAATATTCACTCAAGTTTAAACTACGAAGGTATTAGTAAACCTCTCACTGCATTATATTTGTACACAATACCACACATCAACCTATACAAAACCAGTTTATCCTGGTGTCGCGTCGCAACATCTTTCCGCACATTTAACGTTCAGTTTATACTGGTTATGTAAAGCTCGATGTATAGCCGTGTATACATATTTATGCAGATTATATTGTAGCTGCATGCTGTATGAATGCTCTGACTATGACACTGTGCTATTTGTAGACTGTGAAGTGACCACGGGTCAATAGTTGTTTTATGTTAATAAAAATATATGGAGCCTATCTACCGGTAGGTTCATCGATTTTAAAATGGGAAATCGTATCTTGTTATTCCTCGAGAGGAATCATAGAATTTTATTTATTGTAGAATAAGGTAGATGCTTTTAATCGGAATAGCCCGTCACGTATTATGTAGCTAATGTTTACTGTTGCATCATAACGTAACGTCAAGCCTTTTCTCCTCGAAGCGGTAGGCAGAGGTGCACATTATGCCACTGTACAATGTAACACCCACTTTTCACTATTTCACTATATGCTATGAGTACCATGTACCATGAGCCTATTGCCATATACCGGGCACAGTTACCGGGCACAGTTATAAGTACCTCATAAGTCCTATGAAATTAGCAGTGAGCCTATAATCAAACACCGGAGAGGGGGCTTACTCTTGAATCCAATTCTGATCGATCGACATTAGTATTGTAAAATTTCGTACTTTTGAGTTGCAACACCAATGAGTTTGGCTTTATATTCCGTACTCTGAATGCTATTTTAACAGCTACGATAGGGGTTCTATAGTTTGACATTGAATAATTATTGAAATTTTATTGGATTGGATTGATTGCCGAGTGGTCGCAAGTGCGACTGCCGGGCAAGGGGTCTCGGTTTCGATTCCCGGTTCGGGCAAAGTATTACTGGTTTTTTTTTTAAATGTCAGTAATAGCACGGAGTCTGGAAATGTGCCCGGTATATGGCAATAGGCTCACCCCCTATTACATGGGACTCATAACATAAATAGTGAAAAGTGGGTGTTACATTGTACAATGGCATTAAGTGCCGTAATGTGCACCTCTGCCTACCCCTTCGGGGATAAAAGGCGTGATATTGTGTTATGTGAAATTGGATTGACATTGAGATTTTAAGCATCCAGAATTCCAGATACTGATAAAAAATTTAATAACCAAAAGAGCCCCAATAAAATTGGCTCTGACCCCGGAAATCGAACCCGAGATCTCTTACTCAACTGTCTTTACAGGTCAGTTACCTCTTAAACTTCTATAAAAAACATGATACCTTCTACCCCACACACAAAAAACACATGTAATCCCATCAATCCCTTTTTTACCTGCCCGAGAATCAAACAGGTGTTATAACACCTGTCATTTCATTCAAGCGGTGATGTCATTCAAGTTAAGTATTCACTTGATCTACCGTTGTGTAAGTTGCGATCACAACTTAAGTAACTTAGTTAAGTAATTACTAATTGTAATGATGACTGCCTCGTTGGCCGACTGGTCAGAAGTGCACTACCTAATTTGTGATTTTTTTTTTATAATGTATGCGTCAAGCGTGTCTTTGCATTGTTCTCACATATACCTCTACATATACGCATCTACGGTATTGGAAATATGTATCAAAGACATTTTAGAGCATACTTTTTTTAAAAAGAGTAATGAGTGGAGTTTCTTGCTCGTTCTTCTCCATTCGAATATACATTTTGGAATGAGCATCTAGCTTCACTTAGCTTCACTGACGGACTGACTGACAGACTACTATTTATTTTGTTATTTTGTTTGATTGAAATAAATGCTTTGACTATGACTTTGAGATTGTCGGGCAAGGGGTCTCGGGTTGATTCCCGGGTCGGGCAAAGTACTACTTCTTAAAAAAAATCTCAGTAGTAGCACGGAGTCTGGAATTGTGCCCGGTATATGGCAATAGACTCACCCCCTATTACATGGAACTCTTATCATAAATAATGAAAAGTGGGTGTTACATTATACAGTGGTATTAAGTGCCGTAATGTGCACTTCTGCTTATCCTTTCGGGGATAAAAGGCATGATGTTATGATGATGAAATGATGTTTCAAAATCGCCTAGTGCGTTTGTACATAGTATAATTGTAGAATTAATTTGTTTGAAATACACCTGCGAGCAAAGAAACGGAGCCAATAGCATTTTTTCTATGTTCTATAGTATCGCGAGACATAATAAATTATTTAAAAATCACGGGTTACTCACGTGAATATACTGAGAAAATTATTAATTTCAAGTCAGTTACAAGTAGGACGTTGGGGTTGCTGGGTAAGCCACCAAACGTCGTATTAGCTAAAAAATATTTTTCTCATCTTTAAAACATTCCCTGGACTTCCAGCAACAGTTCATGACTCAATAAGTTCAGCCGTTCTCAAGTTTTAAGTAATTGGGCCTCCGGTAACTTCACGCTTACGACGAAACACAATGCAAGTGCTGTTTCACGTCAGTTTTTCTGTGAGGCCGTGGTATCACTCCGGTCGAGCCGGCCCATTCGTGCCGAAGCATGGCTCTCCCACAATTGAGTTATTTGTCTATCAGTCATCTTGTATGATTTTTGTGTGTAGACACAATTAGGAGGCTATAGAGTGACTAGTACTTTTTTCTTTTGACTACGTAAGCAAAACCGCGGGTAGCAACTAGTGTAATAAATATATATTTTATATCAACTTTACGAAGGTCATTATATAGAATAAAACCGGTACATTCAGTTCAGGAGATTGCAACAAAAAGACGAACAAACTCCACATATAGAGATACGCCTTTACAGACTGTGAATCGCATTAATTTTATTATATATTGAAACTTTAACTGTATATAACAAAATGACTTAAGAAACTAACCTTTGCTAACCAATTTTCAACCCTAATGACAATATTAACACTTAAACTGACACAAAAATTGCTTGTACCGTTAAACATTCTCTTGTGTTTTTTTCTTGTTCGATTATTATTATTGTATTTAAGGTTGATTTTTCAGTGGCAAATGTTTTAGTACTTAAGATTAAATGTTAGTGGGATTCGAAACTCGTTTGGTTAAAAGAAAAAAAAGGTGTTTAGCAAAAAGCTACTCTGAGATGCGCGAGCGCTTCTTAAATGTATTTACTTTTGTTGTGGTTACTGCTGGTAGAATGTTATTTTTTTCTTTATAGGGATAAGCAGACGTATGATAGGGTATTAAAAGCAATATCCACTTTTTGATAGTTCTATTTTGAAAGTGGAAACTATCGTTTTTCTTCTCCTCTATTAATATCTTCTGATTTACTTCGTTGCGGGAACCAAGACAGTTATTCATGTCCCTGGGACGCGCGGGACTTCAGTGTTCTGGTGTTTTCATGGTTGTATCTACTGTACATTCTGGCTTACAGGAGTTGCAGCGGTATACGGAGGTAGTAGCGGGCTAGTGCCCATAAATAGTTCTATTTACTTAAATAGTAAGCACACTTAATATTTGATTTGCTCTAATACTTTTCATCTATCCGCTTTAACATTCTATACCATCCAATGGTCGACTGTCAGAGGATGCCTGCCGGCATTAAGTCCACCAATTTCACAGTGTATTGTGCAATAAATAAATAAATAAGATTCATAATTAAAAAGAAACATAACATCACGCCTTTTTATCCCCGAAGGGGTAGGCAGAGGTGCACACAGAAGTAACACCCACTTTTCACTGTTTATGTTATGAGTCCCATGTAATAGGGGGTGAGCCTATTGCCATATA